AATCTAAGCAGAACAAAATAACTTAAGATTACAACTGTTTTATTTGTTAGACTGACTGATTTTTTTAAAGACAATTTCATTCAAAAMGATTATACTATTTATGGTTTCAGCTCAAGTAATCATTTAAAAATCTTTATTCTTCATTTGATCATTTACTGAATTACATTTACCCCAGAGCAGTTGTGTTACAGTATGATTCTAAACATAAACAAGCTTAGTGCATCAAAATCCTTGTTTCTAAAAAATTGTGAGAAATGAAATTTGTGGATCTATATGATAAATTACGTCCTTTTCRTATTAAAAAATACCAGGGATGACACGGTTCTTAAGAAATGGTTTGAGTTCATCTAACCCCACGACTATACTGTATATGTGCTGTGCAATACGGAAGCCGAAAGTGACCGTTTTCTGCATGTAATTATTTTCTATGGCTTTCTTGTTATAACGACATGTGTTGTTATCACGTCATAACGAGGAGCATTTTCTCGAGATAATGAGTTAACTTCCTGATGGTTATGTCGCGAAATATTAACATAATATGTTGTTATCACAAGAAAACCATGGAAAATAATTATACGTAGAAAACGGCCACTCTCGTCTTCCGTATAATTCATAATAATGGTGTTCTTTTTTTTTCAAAGGTTTCAAGGGTTGATTCTTTATTGTAAGAGATCCATACTTCAAAAAAATCATAAAGTCATCTTTAAATCTTTCATCAATCTAGATTACAGCAGTGGATTAAGCAGCTCTCTGTGACTCAAGCAGTTCTTCTGTAATAACTGTGAGTTATTGTTTTCTGAAGTGATCCTTACACAGATTTAAGCCCCCATATCTAGGTTGAAGTGGTACCTTCCCTAATCCTTTCTGTGTCATCTGGGAGATAAGAGCAGTGTGTGTTTGTAGCTTTCAGGTCAAACTGTGAATAGCTTCTTTATTAATCTGGGTCACTGACATGATAAAAGACCAGATTAGACAAATATGCGTCTGTTTGTGTTGTGTTGTTTATATGAAACAGTCAAACAAAAAAAAAATAATGCGGTTTCTTTGCTTTATGAATGGCATGGTGAATATTACAGGCTGTGCAATTGTTGCTGAGTGCAGGTCATGAGTTTCACCAGCATCCCCCGTTTTTAATGCAGTGCTGCCCAAACATCCATCCATCCAATATTAACTTTCAAATTCATAACCTCTGCCCAACTTCTGCAACTTCTATTTAAAATATTAACATTTTCTAATTCAGCTTTTAAATGATGCATTGCTGCTATCAAATTCCACATTTTGTTTTCTAAAAAGTAAAGGTTCATTGTTTAAACCTTCAATATATTTAATATGGTCCATYGTAAATAAAATGTGGGTTTATTAAAGTTACATATCATCTATTATCTTCACCTGGATGTCCATCACAGGGACAAAAACAAGACAACCAACCACTCACAACTCACAACTACTCACAACTAGGGACAATTTATTTGTTGTTTTTAGTCTGTGGGGCGCGAGTTTCAGATCATTCCATTATATTTTAAATTACATTTTACACATAATTTATATAGTGTACAAAAAAATGTACTTTAAAATATGTACCAAAAAAAGTGTTTTCTTATTTTTAGCAAAGCAATTATCCTGATTAGTCTTTTTTGAAACTTGCATCATTACAGTTGTGAAAGAACGTGCCCTGGTCTTTTTATTTATTATTATTATTATTATTTGGTGCATCCAGTAAAATTCTATATTTCAGATCCAATTACTAGAAGAAAGCTCAGATTTAGGCTCAGTAGGACTGTTACGGATACATCCTGAAATAAAACTGAATGTCAGACGGCCAACCTTACCGTCTGTGATTGGACAACAGGAGTAAATCTGCTGGCTAAATCCCCTCATGGCTCAGGCTGTGATCTGGACCAGGGATTTGTTTTCAGAGGAAACTGCACTCTGCGGAGATGAGCGTCACTATTCAACACATGGTGGACTGCAGCAGGCCTTCAGCTCATGTCCTTCATCTGAGCGAAATAACTTGGACTCAACTCTGACAGCGCTCTTTTCCAGGACTGAACATTTTACGATACGACCCACTGAAAACTCAGGACGGAGAAGAGCAGTCCACAGGAGACATTGGTAAGCCTTTCTGTTATGTAATCCACTTTTTGAAGAAAACTATTCATATTGTTGAATTTTGTTTAAAAAAACTCTCTCTTTGTTGCTTTGAACAAATGCAGGTAATGCATTTAATTCAGCAAATCATAAAAACAAAAGCAGAAAAAAACGTTTGAAATGAAGACAAATACACATAACACATACAATTAAAAGTTAACAATTTGATCAACAGCTAACTTCAGTCTTGATCTTTTCTAAATCAATATTACAAAATGAAGGATTTGGCTTTTGTTTTTGGAAAAGGAACAAACGTATCAGATCTGAAAAAAATAAATCAGTTCCACTCAGGTTRGGAAACGCCTTTTAATTACAAAAGAGTCAGAATTTAAGTGGCAGCAAGAATACTCTTTGTCTTTTAATTTACAACCACTGGTAAATGTTAAGATGATGAGCATGATGTGATTTCTAACAAGCAGCAAATTACAATTGATTTGACAGGAAATAACAACATTATTAACTTTAACTCATTTGTTAAAGTTTGTGTCAAACTTTACAAGCATTGGTTGCATGGTTTAAAATGGCTTTTTAATGCAACCTGAGCTATTAAGAAAGTGTCAGTAAAAGAAGGGTTTGATAACTATAATTGATCATTTTGGTTTATTTATCATGTCTTATTTTAGTTCAACTTTTTTAACAAGCAATTAAATCCCTGTGTGTAAAAATGATAAAAGTCACCTGTGTACTTTACTGATGGACACAAAGTGAGTCAAAAACAAAGCTGCCACTGTAAMACCAACACAATAAGGTTTTGCGTTATTGTTTTAAATGCTAAAATGTGTTTATAATTTTGATGTCAGAGCCTGAAATTCTTGCTCTCGCCATTRAAAAAGCTGCTTCGGGTTTCAAATTGTATTTTTCTTCTCTTATTGTCCAAGCGCTAAAAAAGAAATATTGAAAAACACAAGGGCTGTCAGTTTTTCTGGTCTCATTGTTAATGGTGAACCAGTTCACCCCGACGAGCAATCACAGAGAATTATCATTGTCAAGTCCATTTAATCAGGAAGTGTGAATGGAGTTACAAATGTGTTGTTGTTTTTTTAAAACTATCACATCTGTTCTGCTCCCTCTTCATTAGTCAGCTTGTTGGATGAGCAGAGGCCCGGTATGTGGAGCAGTTTGACAGGTGGTGAGAAAATGATCAATTCAACAAAAGGTGTTAACAAGGGAAATTCAACACAACCTTTGAAAGTTTTGTTTTAATTGTGTCTGTTTTATGTATTTTGTCATTTTTTATAAAATCAAAAACAATCAAAGTGAACAGAAAACAAATGTTTTAACAATTGTGGACTAAAAGCATAATTGCATAATAAGCTGTCTAGTTATAATCCATGTTTATTTTTGTTTGCCACTTTGCCAGATTTGTGCATCAATCAACAGATCAATAGTGCATTTACTTTAAAACATAATATTTATTCTAGCAGATAGACTGAGCATCTGACAAGATGACTTGTGACCTCTGACCCCTGTGCTGCCATCCAGATGTGAGCAGGAGGGATGCCTCTGGTCAAGAGAAACATCGAGCCTCACCACCTGTGCCACGACGCGGTGCCGGATGGGATCGGCAGCGAGCTGGAGTGTGTGACCAACAACACGCTGTCGGCCGTCATCCGTCAGCTCAGCAGTCTGAGTAAGATCAGAGGTTCTCAGCGAGTGTTTCCTTTGCAGCCAGAAGCAGGAGACATGACTTCTCTYASWCTCTCTGAGGCTTTTTGCCACTTTKCCTGCAACATAGCTTGTTTCAAATACACAGCAAACACATGAAACACTTTATGGTTGCTTTAGTCATCATAGAGTTATATAAAAGCTGGAGTCACACACACTTAGACATCTGTTGTTTTTGTTAACAGAGATCTTGAATGTGCTATTTCAGCCCAAATCACCAGAGCTGTTRAAGTACTTGAAAAAATCASTAAAAGAAAATAYACCTCAATAGAAAATGATGTTGGTAAAAATAAATTTGATTGATCAGAAATGTACTTAAAAGTCATAAAACTGCTCACAATAATCATTAAACATACTTTTTATGCACATTTTAAGAAATAAAATGTTGAATTTAACTAAGCTGAGTGGAGTAAATATAAAACAATTCACGCATTTCCTTTAAAAGAAAATGTGTAAATTGCTCAGCTTGTTTAACTCTTTTTAACAGAACCAGTTGTCATAACTCAACACTTCATTTTTTAGAGTGCATAAACAGACTTTTCATATTGAGTTCTGGCATATTTAAAAGAAACAGGATGATTAATCGGATAAATCTTAAAGTAAAGAMGTAAAAGTATAATTTTTATGTTTTGTATGTAACATAATCAAAATAAAAGTTGCAATTTAAAAAATACTCAGTAAAATTACAGATCCCCAAAAGAATTACTTCAACTACTGTTACAAAGTAAATGTACTTTGTTACTTTAAACCTCGGCAAATCCCATGACAAACACTCATTAYAAACATGTAGAAGTAAGGGGGTTTTGTACGTTAAAAACACATAAAATGCATAAAATGCATGCATCTGTCTTGTAGTTTCTCTGACTTGTGTTTGTGAGTGGATTTTATGAAGTGATAGAGGCTTAGAGCTTACGGAAACACTTTGTGAAACAGGCAGATAAGATGGAGCGGAGGTGGGTGGAGACCCAAACCCTTGCTGTCTAGTGCCAGCTTTTACATTAAGTGGATCTGAACTGCTGGAAGAGAGAAACACTTGGTGCTGAAGGATAATCCTGAGCCATAATCCGATGCACAAAACAATTTGTCTGAAATAAATTTGTTTTACTGTATTGTGTGTTTGTGTGTGTGTTTGTGTGTGTGGTTCCTTTCTGAAAGGTTTAATTGTGCTTCATTTCTAATCAGCTTCTGTTTCTCTTTTTCTTTTTTTATGTTATGGTTGCAGGTAAACATGCAGAAAATGTGTTCGGGGAGCTTTTTAATGAGGCCAACACCTTTTACACTCGTGCAAACTCTCTCCAGGACCGTATTGACGGCTTGTCAGTCAAAGTCACCCAGCTGGATTCCAGTGTAGAGGAGGGTCTGTTCACTGGAAACCCATCTGTTTAGTTGCACATTCTACAAATATGTTTATTCTCAAGGACATCTAGTTGAGCTTTTACCCCTTGTCTTTTTGGCTGACAGTGTCTCTTCAGGACATAAACATGAGGAAGGCGTTCAGAAGCTCCGTCGTCCAGGACCAGCAGGTTTTGACCAAAGGCAGCGCTCCTGATTCTGTGTCTGAACTGTACAGCAGCTGTGACAGGCCTCCCCCTCTTAGCACCCTCACTGCTTACAGGTGCTGCATCTGTCCTCAGGCTAACATCGGCTTTCTTRTGTTTTCAACTTACAGCATCATTTTAGAAAAAAATAACTCTTCTTTTGAATTWAATTCAGAGAGGATTCCACAGACGCAATGAAGTTCTACTCAGACCCGTCGTACTTTTTCGATTTGTGGAAAGAGAAGATGCTACAGGACACTGAGGACAAGAAGAAAGAAAGGCGGAGGCAAAGGGTGACCTCTCCGTCTGCTTTTACTGCTCTTTACATTTCCGCATGGCGAGCACTCGTTTGCTATTCKTCAACCTCTCCGTCGTATTTTCCCTCAGGAACAGAAAAGGTCCATGGAGAGCAGCACGCTCCAGCGCGAGGTGAAGAAGGTGAGAAAGGCTCGAAACCGCAGACAGGAGTGGAACATGATGGCTTTCGATAAAGAGCTTCGACCAGATCACCACCATCCGCAAACTCTGCGGCGAGGAGCGTCCTCAGAGGGCTCGCTTTCTCCAGACGGCAGGTCGGGATGCTTCATATGGTTTTTATGTGAAAGTTTATAGGTTAGGGTTAGGGTCAAGAATTATAACTAAGAGAAGGAAGATACCAAAAGAAAACCATTATTGTTTTTCTTTGTTCCACCTTTATCAGACATTTATGTCACAGACTTAGACATAAAATCCAAAGGATAAAATGAGGCAACAGCTCAAGAGGAAATTGTGGATGAAAGAGGAAAGATCACGTCACCAGTTTGGCATTATTATTCAGCCTTTTTTCTCCTGGTCCTTATTTCAAACAGGCAAAATAATCAATTATCTATATCAAATGATATGAAACACTCATATCATGATACATGTTTCACCCAGCCCTACTCTAAAACAAGTAAATAAAATCCACATGCTGCAAGCCTCTGATCACTTCGAGAGCTTTATCCCAGCAATGATGCACGACGAAGGCAGCCGCATCATGTGATCTTTTTTCATTTGCAAAGCTTACTCATAAATACTGTCAAATAATCCATTCCTGAAGAACAAAACACGACATTTATTATATAATATAGATGTGTGGATGCATCTCTATTATTAGTCTGTCCCTATTTATCCAGGCCTGATCTTCTGGATTACCCAGTTCCTCCAGTACCTGCTCAGGCTGCTTGTAACTATGCCAAGTCTCATGATTACATCCCTGGAACCGCACCCCCCTCCCCACCTGTGGAACATGAGTACCACAGTATCGATGTCAACTACAAGAGAGTGACCTACTCCACATCGGAGCCTCACATCGCTGACAGAATCAGTGGTGCAGTCCATCTGTCTGCAGACTCCAAGTATGAATGTTTGCCACTCCCAAATCAAAGCAGAATTCAAATATATTGTCTGACTTTTTTCATTATCTTGATTCTTTTTACTGTCAAACAGCTCGGTTCCTCCACCTCCTCCCCCAGGCCCACCCATCCCGTCAGCTCAGACTGCCTTTGGTTTTCCGCGGGGTTCGCTACCTCCAGCGCCCCATAATGGAGTTTTGTATGCTGGCCCTGGCTACCCACTCCCACCGGTCCCTCCGCCGGGGCCTCGCGTGGCCCCTCCACCCCCAGGGCCTCCTCCTCCACCTCTCCCTCCTCCAGCTGCACCCTTACACCTGCCGGTACACCCCAAAGGCAGGAGGGCAGAAACTAAATCTGTGAGAGATGCTAGAAGTGACCTGTTATCTGCCATTCGCATGGGTGAGATGGGATTTTTACCTTTAATATTTAGTCTAGTTTAAAAATATGAAATATAATACTAATGCCTAAACTAAATTGAATGATTTACTCGCTTATTAGCAGCGGTGTATTGTAACGTTTGGGGTGATTTTTAATTTTACAAAGTATTTCTTTTAATCGTAACTATTTCTTTTATTTTGTTATGTTCTAAACATAAAAACAATCATTTTATGTTTTTACTTTAAAATTTAACATGTAGTTACACATTACATTTGACCAGAAAAGTGTGGTTTACTTAGTTTTTTAAGTACTTTATACGCAGCGGTGTATTGTAACGTTTGGGGTGATTTTTAATTTTACAAAGTATTTCTTTTAATCGTAACTATTTCTTTTATTTTGTTATGTTCTAAATATAAAAACAATCATTTTACCTTTTTACTTTAAAATTTAACATGTAGTTACACATTACATTTGACCAGAAAAGTGTGGTTTACTTAGTTTTTTAAGTACTTTATACCTCTCCTCAATAGGCATCCAGCTGAAGAAAGTGCAGGAGCAGCAGGAACAGCAGAACAAGCGAGAGCCCATTGGCGACGACGTGGCCACCATCCTTTCTCGGCGCATTGCAGTGGAATACAGCGACTCTGAGGAGGACTCCGAGCTGGAAGAAAACGAGTGGTCAGACTGAGCCAAAGTTTTGCTCGAGGGACCCTTTTAAACACAAGAAACTTAGTAGTTAATAACTCAGWTTGGTTCCATTCGGTGTCTGTTTACGCTGTTGTTTTTTTCTCTGACATTTAGGAGGTGGAAATATTACAAATACAGTTTGTATTAAAGCATTTTTATCACTATTAAAATATGATTAATTTGTTTGTCATTCTAAACAACCTGTTCCATAAAAATAAATAAAACCAAAAAAATTTAAAAAACGCCACTTGGTCTAAAAACTGTACAGAAAATGACACTTGTTGTCCCAGCACCAGGTATTTTTCACAGAAGATACAGAGGGGTGCAAAAGTTTGGGCAGCCTTGTTAATTTTCCTGATGTAACTTTATAAATCACTGATTGCTTGGATTTTAAAAAATCAGTAAAGTATATCATATAGGGGACAAACACAGTGATATTTGAGAAGTGAAATGAAGTTGATATGATTTACAGAAAGTGTGCAATAACTGGTTAAACAAAATTAGGCAGGTGCATAAATTTGGGCACAAAAAAAACCTTAACTCAATATTTAGTAGCTCCTCCTTTCACAGAAAAACAGCCTCTAAACACTTCCTACAGCTTCTAATGAGAGTCTGGATTGTGCCTGAAGGTATTTTAGACCATTCTTCTTTACAAAACATCTCTAGTTCATTCAGGTTTGATGGTTTCTGAGAATGGACAGCTCTCTTTAAGTGACACCACAGATTTTTAATAATATTCAGGTCTGAGGACTGAGATGGCCATTCCAGAACGTTCTACTTGTTCCTCTGCATGAAGGCCTTAGTAGATTCTGAGCAGTGTTYAGGGTGGTTGTCTTGATGGAATATGCAGCCCCGGCTTCAGCAGCTTCAGCTTTGTCACTGATTCCTGGACATTGGTCTCCAGAATCTGCTGATATTGATTGGAATCTATGTGTCCCTCAACTTTAACAAGATTCCCAGTCACTGTACTGACCACACAGCCCCACAGCATGATGGAACCACCTCCATATTTCACTGTAGGTAGCAGGTGTTTTTCTTGGAGTGCTGTGTTCTTTTTCCTCCATGCATAACGGTCCTTGTTCTGYCCAAATAACTCTATTTTAGTTTCATCAGTCCACAGCACCTTATTGCAAAATGAAGCTGGCTTGTCCAAATGTGCTTTAGCTAATCTCAAGCAGCTCTGTTTGTGATGTGGGCAGAGAAAAGACTTCCTCTGCATCACTCTCCCATACAGCATCTCCTTGTGTAAAGTGTGCTGAATAGTTGAACKATGCACAGTSWCTCCATCAGCAGCAAGATGATGWTGTAGGTCTTTGGTGCTGGTCTGTGGGTTGACTCTGACTGTTCTCTGTTCATTACAGATTTTTCTTGGTCTGCCACTTCGAGCCTTGACTTGAACTGTGCCTGTGGTCCTCCATTTTCTCACAAWGTTTCTCACAGTGGAGACTGAAAGCTGAAATCTCTGAGATAGCTTCCTTTATCCTTCCCCTAAACATGACGGTGAACAGTCTTTGTTTTCAGCTCATTTGAAAGTTGTTTTGAGACTCCAATGCTGCCACTCTTCAGAGAAGATGCAAAGAGGAAGAAAAAAAACGTAAAATTGCCCCCTTTAAATACCCTTCCTCATAATTGGAGTCACCTGTTTGTGGAGGTCAAGGGTCACTGAACTTACCAAACCAAATTTAAGTTCCAATAATTAATTCTAAAGGTTTTGAAATCAATAAAATGACAACAGTGCTCAAAGTAATGCACCTGCCTAATTTTGTTTAACCAATTATTGCACATTTTCTATAAATCATTTAAACTTCATTTCACTTCTCAAATATCACTGTGTTTGTCCCCTATATGATCTATTTTACTGATTTTTTTAATCCAAACAATCAATGATTTATAAAAGTAAATCAGGAAAATTAACAAAGCTGCCCAAACTTTCGTACCCCACTGTATCCAACACATCAAAGTAAAAATAAAGAGGGAGAAAAATATTTTTAACTAATATACTCAGTGACCTTCAGTGTCAGAGTATTTGCATTAAATGACTTGCTCTCTGTAACTCTGTCATGGGTAACTGGGACTGCAAAATTGTAACACCTGATWTGTTCATTTGATACATCCATAAATGTAATGTGATAAAAGTTCATCAAGGGCAGCCTCTTTTGCAAATCAAGGGTCTGTTTTGATAATTTTGTGTAAATTCCTTTTATATTCAATTCCATATATTTGTGGGMCATTTTGTAATTGCTACCTCAGGTTGTGACTATTTTACCTCACATTGTGTTGTAGGTTCATATGATGTTATTGTTTTGGTAATGTTTGTTTTTTTGTCTTGGAAAATACCTGTATAAAAATGATAATTTTGAGATAAACCTCCTTAAATTTGTCTCTTACCTTTACATCCTTCTCTCACTTCTTGTTTCTTTTTTTTTTTTCCTGGTGAACAAACACTAAATTTGAACTAAATTGGGAAAAAACTTTAAGGTTTACTCAGTCCAAATGTAAAAAACCTTTGATTTTGTGCACATAATTGTTTCAAAAATGAAGTTCCACCTGTGAAATTATATTATCTGTAACATATTAAGTTGTTATTATCACAGCAYATCTAAAAACACCTGTAATCCTGCATAGACAATAATGGAAAATTTAYGGGCACAAAAATGAGGATTTGCCAAAGAAATAGCTTGTCATTTAGGTTCTTGCTRTGAAATTATGAAAGAAACACATCTAACAACACACAAAATAAGTTTTACAGGACTTAGTGATCATTAAACAATGGTTCATTAACTAGAGAAGTTGGTTGAAAGTAAATAAATGGACGTCTGCTGAAACTGTTGAACAGGAGACGCCATCTTGGATCCGAATCACCACTTTGATGTGGCGGAGGGATACACCGGAGCCGCAATGGAGTTGTGTTCCTTCCGTGTCCGGTGCTCTGCAGGTGACTAGCACCACAGGAACTGAGCCATAGTTGAGAAAAACTGGAAGACAGTCTATCATTTCAGGGTAAGATAAGTCGTTTTTGTTTCACGACAGTTTTCACGCCACTCCTCAACAAACTCTTACGTGTTTAGTCATTAGTTAAAGTGGCTGTGCTGTCATTGCTAGTTTGGCTAGCCTTGCTGACGTGCAGGCTCAATCAGCTTTATCCCTGCGTTAGCTTTGAAGTTAGAAACATAAGGCTACCATCTGYTCACCAGTCAAGTTCTTGGTGCGTACTGTACGTACTTTAACTTTAAACGAACGAACAAAAATAATTCAGACTTCTTTAGCTATAAATGAGTTAGCTTATTGCTTAAAGCTCACTGACCCCATTCATTTGTCTCTCTTAAATAATAAAAGTAGTATCTACAACTATAGTTTATTTTATTATCATGAATCAAAATACGTTTTCGTTTGATTTGATACATTTATTATCTTTGGAGACACCCAAAAGCATGTCTCCCCTTCATCTTTTAAGGGGTTTTGCAGGTCAGAACCGAAGATGGACACTTCAARACTTCCTAAGATCCAGGATGAAGAGCATGAAAGCCGGTTTGGATATGTWCATGGAGTCTCTGGACCGGGTCAGGTTCATTCTCCCGCTGCCACGATGATGATTTCTCTTAGTGACATTGTAAAAGTTGTGTTTTTAATCTCCCTCTCTTTTAAAATCGATTCAATCAACAGTGGTCACAGCCACTGCAATGGCCGGAGCTGCCATGTATGAGCTGGTCCGTGTCGGTCACAGTGAGCTGGTCGGAGAAATCATCCGGTTAGAAGGCGACATGGCAACCATCCAGGTCTACGAAGAGACGTGTATCCTTTCTGCATCTGCAGTGCTGTCCTCTGTGATCACGTATAAGAAGTTGCTTTAAAGGTTAAGTGTTTATTAGCCACTGTGATGACAGCAAACGGCACGAGCTGGACTTTGTGGTTCGTTTTGTTTTCCTCAACTTCATGCTGCAGCTGGTGTTTCTGTTGGTGACCCCGTCCTCCGAACTGGAAAACCCCTCTCTGTAGAGTTAGGGCCAGGTATCATGGGCTCCATCTTTGACGGTATCCAGCGTCCACTGAAAGACATCAATGATCTCACTCAAAGTATTTACATCCCAAGAGGAGTAAACATCGGTGCACTTAACAGAGACCTCAAGTGGGAGTTTACTCCTGTCCAGAACCTGCGGGTAAAAAAATAAATAAAATAAAACATTTCTGGTGCGATGTGTGTTTTGATATTTACTACTCATCTGTTATGATTTAATTCACATTTTCTCCCATCTAGGTTGGCAGTCACATCACAGGTGGAGATATCTATGGCTCTGTGTTTGAAAACTCGTTAATCAAGCACAAGCTGATGCTCCCACCTCGCAGCAGAGGCACTGTGACCTACGTGGCTCAGCCTGGAAACTATGACCTTTCAGTGAGTGCTGCTCTCAAAGCAAAACACTTCCTCTTTTTGGTAAAAATAAAAATAATAAATATATATGTATTTGTATTCAGGATGTGGTTCTGGAGCTTGAATTTGAAGGCATTAAGGAGAAGTTCACCATGATGCAGGTGTGGCCAGTTCGACAAGTCCGCCCGGTAACGGATAAACTACCTGCCAATCATCCACTGCTGACTGGTCAGAGAGTTCTTGATGCACTTTTCCCGTGAGTGCTCCTCAGGAGAGCAAATAATCCACTCATTTCACTTTATCGCTATACTGTACCTGCCTTTTATTTATGCATGTGGGATGCAGTTACAGCTTTCTGACCTTTTGTTTAATGATTGTTCGGTTGTTTATGGTTGAAAGTGTTGAGCCACTGGTTTTATTCTGTGTGCGAGTGAAGCTTTGYGACCTTTCTGCTGTGTAGATGTGTGCAGGGAGGCACCACTGCCATACCTGGGGCCTTCGGCTGTGGAAAGACTGTGATCTCACAGTCCTTGTCCAAGTACTCGAACAGCGATGTTATTATTTATGTCGGCTGTGGAGAGCGTGGGAATGAAATGTCTGAAGTACTGCGGGACTTCCCCGAGGTTAGTGGGAGAACAAACTTTTTAAAAATTAAAGTTTCGTTTTTAATAATTGGATCACTTTTGATGACTCTCAAACTCAGTTTGGGTTTTTTTTTTTTAGAAGTTTAAACATAAATTTCAGATTTTTCTCAATATCCTTTCAAAGTCCTGAAGAATATTTCATGAAAATGTGTCAAATGTTAGACCCAGCTCCATTTTCTCTAGAGTTTCATTTCTTGCTACAGCTAGACTTCCTCAAAATGTCARGCTTGTTAGGCACGTAGTACTGTGAAATTGTTCATCAGTTTAAAAATGGATATATTTGGTTTTGTTTAAATTGTACACACAAGGTTGACTTCCTATAATTTACCAAAAAATGTTTGCTTTGCTTTGCTTTTAATGCAGACATGTTCTGGTAGATTTTGCATAAACAATGAGCTGAAAGGAAGCTGTGCTGCTGAATAATTTACACATACAAACACGATACGTCGTTATAGCTAGTTAAGTAATGAGATACTTCTTTTTTTTTATTAAGTTTTCCTTTTTTGTTTACAGATACAGCCTTTCAGTTCAGTTCTCATTTGGGTAATGGGCTAGCAAAACATCTTTTTTGGTGAAAGAAATCCCTTTAAAATAATGTTCTGTCTATTGAGAATTACCCAAGTTGTTGATTTTAATTGATGTCATGCCAAAAACTAATGAATTATTTTGATGTTTGTGCTATCTGCAGCTGTTAGTTTGATTTGAGTACATGAAACTGCAGATAGTTTTGTTTTTACCTGGTGAAACTAATGTTATGGAGGGAAAACAAAAAAAAAAAGACCAGTGAAGACGATTTAGTAACTCTTCACTTTGTGTAATATTGCTCTTACCTAACAGCTCACTATGGAAGTTGACGGCAAAGTCGAGAGCATCATGAAAAGAACGGCGCTGGTAGCAAACACATCCAACATGCCTGTGGCTGCTAGAGAGGCTTCCATTTACACAGGTACYAACGTTTTATCCATCTGCACATTTTAACCTCTTAAATATACAAAGGCCTTTACGTACATTTATGTAAAAGTCAAGTTTAAAMCCCCTGAAATCTTTTCATGATTGTCATCATTTTTTTTCTTTGAGAATTTATCATATTAAGACAATTTCTTCCACAGGGATTACGCTGTCAGAGTATTTTAGAGATATGGGCTACAACGTGAGCATGATGGCTGACTCGACGTCTCGATGGGCAGAAGCTCTGAGAGAAATCTCAGGGAGATTGGCTGAAATGCCAGCTGGTGAGTTTTACCGATTTACTGCAGGTTTGTTTTTGTGAACAGGTAAGAACATAGAAATAAAATCTGAACATGAAAACAGGAACACTTTCAAGAAAACAAAATGAAATGTTCTAAGGAATGCACTCGTGAAAATGTGATTACTCTTATGTGGAAGAGAGTAAATGTGGTTGTTTGTTTGCAGACAGTGGGTATCCTGCTTACCTTGGCGCCAGACTGGCCTCTTTCTACGAGCGCGCTGGACGTGTGAAGTGCCTGGGGAATCCAGAGAGGGAGGGGAGTGTGAGCATTGTTGGAGCGTGAGTTGTTTATTTGTGGAGGATTTTTATTTATTAAAAGCCTTGTATTGTTGTTTTGACCACTTCACTGAGGAAGACCGACTTGTGAAAGTAATTTGGTAACTTTAAGTTGCTTATTTTTGCTCCTTTCTTGCTTTACTGTTGATTAAACTTGGGTGAAACATATTTAAAAAGTTAACTGATGTAAAGATTTACTCTTAAAATGTGTTTTTCTGACATTATAAAAAGCTTGTACCAAAAAGACTGATTTAGATGATTACTCTTCTTTCACCTGTCAGTGTGTCGCCCCCTGGTGGAGACTTCTCTGATCCGGTCACTTCAGCCACTTTGGGAATTGTTCAGGTAAGAAACGGGTCGTGGCACGTCAGCTTTTTATTCTCACGTTTCTTTAAAAGTGTGTGGCCGTTTTCCTCCCCCACCTCTGCAGGTCTTCTGGGGACTGGACAAGAAGCTGGCTCAGAGAAAGCACTTCCCTTCAGTGAACTGGCTCATCAGCTACAGCAAGTACACACGGGCTCTGGATGAGTATTATGACAAACATTTCCCTGAGTTTGTCCCTCTTCGTACAAAAGCTAAGGAGATCCTCCAGGAGGAGGAGGACCTGGCTGAAATTGTGCAGCTTGTAGGCAAGGTGAGGCAGGCTTTTATTGACCTGGAGATCACATGTGGCTCCGATAACAGGTGTTATTATAAAGATGCTGATGAAATGAGTTTGAACTTCATTTATTAATGAAGTTTCATTCTTTAAACTGCTTCAATTTAAATGTAATTTCCTTGTAATTACTGTAATACCCTTAACCTAATCTATTTCAGTGTATAATTAAATTCTTTACTCATTTACACTTTTTTTTCCTCCAATGTTTCTTTGTTTTGTTTTTGTTTTGCTGTAGTGTCCTGAAATGTGCTTTTTAAATACAATGTTTTATTGTTAATATTATATTTTTATGCTTTTAAGTTTTAGAGAATATGATTTACTTTAATGCATATTTGTTTATGCTACCCAGTAAACGTCTCAATAATAGGCTGACAAGTTTTTCTTCGTTTAGTAAACACGTTTTTTTTTAACACGGCCATCCTGTTTCTAATCAGCAGGATTTTGTCTAATCTGTGGATTATTAAGATGCTAACGATGTTAATCTCACTAAGAACTCCTTGTCTTTGTTTCCTTCACAGGCTTCTCTTGCTGAGACTGATAAAATTACTCTGGAGGTTGCAAAACTCATTAAAGATGACTTCCTGCAGCAAAATGGTTACACCCCCTATGACAGGTGACCTGAAACACACTTATTCTAAAGTGGGGATTTAAGCACAATATTTATGTATAAGAGCAATATCAAACGTTTCCTCAGTAACAATACTAGTTTTGTCCTGTGTATGTTAAAGCACTGGGGTTTGCATTGTGGCATAAATCAGAAAAATAACATAAAAAAAGTCATGTTTTAGTTTGTATATAACCAGTGGAACCATATTAGCTCACATCTATCTGAAGTAAACCACAACATTTCATCAACTTCCCACTTCTACAGAGATTGTAATGATTTGATTAGAGGAAGTAAAGATAGAGAAGTGTGCGTTTCCTTCTCCATAATAATGTTTTTAAAACATTGAAAGAGTTGGAGAGCTTGGAGGTAACGCACAGGAGCAAAACGAACATGTGGAAGTCACGTGCCTGCAGATGTTTTCCTTCATGTGATTTATTACATAAACTAAACGGTTTGCACATTCCTTCACCGCTCCACAGGTTCTGCCCTTTCTACAAAACCGTCGGCATCCTCTCCAACATGATCGCGTTTTAYGACATGGCCCGACACGCGGTGGAGTCCACGGCTCAGAGCGACAACAAAATCACGTGGGCCATGATCAGAGAGCACATGGGAGAGATCCTGTACAAGATCAGCTCCATGAAGTTCAAGGTAGATGCAGCTCTCTTCTCATATCTTTGTTTTTTTTTTAAGCTTGCTTTGCTTTATCTTTCATTTTGTTCATGTTTGTTGTCCTCCTCAGGACCCTGTTAAAGATGGCGAAGCTAAGATTAAAGCAGATTACGCCCAGCTGCTGGAGGACATGCAAAACGCCTTCCGGACCTTAGAGGAATGAGTTTCCAACCTCTCGTCCCATCAACCCAAAGATCTAAAGCGCGGTGCAGTGAGAGAACCAGTTCCAGTTCTGGTTTTCTGCCTCAGTCGTGTGAACTCCTGTATTTTTGTGTTTACATCCCTCTGAAACATTCCATGACTCTTACAAATGTTTTTATTTTTGACTTTATTAATTACAAAAACRGGCTGCTAGAATCYGAACAACAAATTTGCTGTGATTGACAGAAAKGGACACTTTTGACTCGAATCGGTTCACAGCACTTATTCACCGTCAGACTGGTGATGTGATTGAAATCAGCGGGTCTCACTCAGGTACTGCACGTGCACTCRGCTACCAGCTGCAACAAAGAGTGGAAACGACGAACTGGCTTTTTTAAAATTAAGTAGGAACATGAATGAAGGGACATAGTTTTGTTTATTCATCTGGGGCTAAAAGYGTTGATTCCACTTCTTACCTCTTAAGTGTGGCTGTGAGGTTGTGGACTTGATATATCTAAAAATTTGAGTGAATAAATGTGTTAGTTTGTGTTGTAACAAATGTTTCACTGTTATATTCATAGTCCATAACGGTCTCCTTGAATAAATCCAAACAAAATGACAGATTTTGAATGAAGTTTCTTGTTTGTTTKTTTTTTAATCCATACTTTGGTCTCTTCAAATTCAGGCTTAAAAGCTTCATTTTTTAATTTTAATGTTTAACTACATCTAACTTTTTCACCATAGGTGGCACACGTAGTTTTGTCAGTACAGTGTCGACAATGATATTTTAACCCTTAGGATCACATTTTCCATATGAATGTTTTATTTTAGGAGTCTGAACTCAAAATRTTAGACAAGACAAAGCATCCATGTTATCCGCATCGTACATATTTGATCTTTTTCCTCAGACATATAATTCATCACAAACAACAGTCGGGGAGTTTTGGTTAGCCTCATCTTGATTCTGGAGTCTGTCGGTGACCTCAGGTTGTGTCCTGACAACTGTCCTCATCAAACAGCAGAACAAAGAGTCTTATTTAAAGATGGCATTACTGTTGCAGAGCTCTGATCTCCAGGTCACTGTGTTTATACTCACTTGAAAACCAGGGACATTAATGCATTTTGACGGCCCTTTTGTGGCCCAGAGGTGTTCCATTCATGGATAAATTACCACAGGGTATGCCATCACCATTGCCAGACCTCGCCCACATCCGGATGACAAACCATTTCCTGGGTGGACCATTTCATCATCAAGCAGGTTCCTGGTCCCAGATCTACTTTACTGCATGTTTTAGAGTTTTCTTTGCTCCAGCACACCTGATTTGAATGAATGGGTGATTAGTGAGCCTCTGTAGAACTTGAAGAGGTGATTCAGTCACTGAATCAGGTGTGTTGGAGCAGAAAAATAAGTAAAACATGCAGGATGGTGGCTCGAGGACCAGGATTGGACACCTCCAATTAAAATACTCCATTATTAAAATTTTAACAAAACGTAATGAACTACTTAAAGCRTTTTCTTGATCATTGTACCTCTACACCTAACACAATTCAAGATGGCTGCCTTATCCAACTGACAAGGAAGCACAAAAATGGTTATAATTCAGTTAGATTTTCAGATGGTGAGCTAAAATTTGATGCAGTAGTAGCCGAAAGTCTTCCACAACATGTACTTTGAGCACCGCACATTAGATTGTGTATGAAATGTGGCAGGCAGTATGCAATCCTTCAATGCATAGGCCTTTATGAATAACAGAGTTCACAGGAATTAATTTAACGTGGCTCTTCTGTAATGTGTTGGACAGTTTCACATAGAAGCTCAGATACTCACTAATATTTAGGTATTGTGCTTTAGCAAGTTGCTTCTTGACCACATGCTTTTAGTAGCCCTCACCACGCTTCTGGTGTAATTCCAACTGGATATTTGATAACTTTTCTTGGCAGAATTGGTAGAGGTTATTTAATTTAGTTGGTTTCCTGGCACACACACAGCTTTTAAGCACAGTCCACACACTTTCTAATAAGGTTGAGGTTTGAGTTTTGGRAGGGCTGTTCAGACAAGACAAGAAATATGACAAAAAGCTTCTGGGGTAAAAAAAAAATAATAAAATAAAATCTGGTTATCTTAAAACATTTGCACTGTTTTAACTAGCTTGTCTATGGTTTTCAGCCCTGGAAATGGTCTGCAGAACATTCTTCAAATTGGTTCAGAACTGTTATCTCAGAAACTGCGCTCCATTAAGACTTAATGGAAGCAGAACCTGCAGCAGCTGTTTTTTTTTTCTGTCCGCATTGATTCATTTGTCGAGACAGACATTTGTATGGGCATTAAGTGCCGGGAATATACGGGCCCTATATAAGGCTCATATAATGCACCTGCATCTCTTGTTCTTCMGTTTGTGATGACTGATGGAGAGGGAGTGCATTAAGAAGACATTAACAAAACTAAACGAGTTTGCTCCTGTGAAAAGGAAACCAGAGAGCAGGTTCCACCACATTCATAAGTGCTTCTTTAGCAGTTGTATTAGAGGAAAAATGAAAACAAATTCTTAATATNAAATAGGGATGTAATATTCACTCAAGCGCCAATTTGATTCAGTTATCAACTTTAAGTTTACATTTACAATTTTTTCAGCAAAATTAATTGTAGCCATTTTTCAAATGTTTCATTTTTTTAACAGCAGTGTTTTTGTCCTTGTATCAAACTAGCTGTCTGTTTTCTCAGAAACACAAAACAACTTAATATAAATGTCATCAAACTATTTTGTGAGCAAAAGTTATGAAGTATCAAACTGAATTTGTCTTAAAGACAGAGCAACACATTTTATCTCAATAAGTCTTAAAAAGGCTGAATTACAGCCTTTTAAAGTTAGCTGTGGTGGCCATCTTGAATCTATGATTAGCATTTAGAATTTGGTAAAGATTGTTTTTGGCTTCAACACTAATCTTCAGCTTTGTATGACTAAACATGTCTGAATGATAACTAGTGACTAGTTTCCAGCATGTTTTTTGGGTCATTATTCGCTACGATCAAATTAAATTTCAATTCAATATTTCTTAAAACAGCTAAATTAAAGTAATTTGGAATTAGTGCTGCAACGATATTGAATTTTCAAATTCAGAGTGCCTTTCTTTGTATGTGCCCCMCTAAAATAACACCTTAGCCACCCCTTGCAAAAAGTCTAGCTCCACCCCTGCCACAGAAATCAGGATACCTCACATCTCCTAAGTTAAAAAGTGAACATGTTTGTATTTATTTTTTAAGAACTTATTGGCCTTAGAATGAACACCATCAAGACATGTTACATAAAAAATAGAATAAAAAAGAGAAAATAGATTTTAAATCTATTTTTAATTAATGATTCAATGCAGCAAAATGAACAAATTGAAATGCTTGTTTTTGTCGGGCCTTTTATTTGTCTGATATTGACCGGGAGATGCCTTCGATTTGCAGTTTAAGATGAACTCTTTGTGGTACCCGGGATGTTGTGTCTCCCAGACACTCTTCACGTTTCTAATGCACAGTTTCTTTTTTATAGAACTTCCTGTTAACACAGTGTGGTCTGCATTAAAGGCTTCCTCTTCTCTCTTTATTTTTCTGCTCACTGATACTGTAAAAAAATAATWAAAAAAACAAGCAGAAGCAAGATTGAAGCCATTAAAAAGCTCTCTGCTGATGTGTTTATGAGCAGAAGCTGTAGCTGGGTTGGGGGGGGCTGGGGGGTGTCAGGGTAAAGAAAACTTTCCTGCAAGGGTCACTTACCGCCCTGTCACAAAAGTGACACAGATAAATCACGGGGTGTGCTACGTGTCATGTCAATCTCTGCACACAGATCACACAGGCACATACTTTCCCAGAGTTTTCTGCTCATGAGCTCCAAGGTCAAATAGCTTGTGGAGGGAAATCTGATCTGTGAGGGTGGGGCTGGCTCCCTCTCTCAACTATGAGTGCCTGTCATGTTTCTCATGCTCCTCCGGCTCACTTTGGATTATCAGGGCTGCTGCTGCAGCTTTTGAACACCTCGGCACACAGCCCCCACTTTGCTGAGCAGAGAGGTATAAAAGGCTCCCTCGGACCAGTTGAGGGGGATCCTGTAGTATTTATTGGAGTCCACACAGGTAAGCTGTGACAGGATGCCAGGGGACGACTAGTCAAGTTTTCAACGTTATGTGAGAAAGATAGTTGAGCCRGCTGATGGAACAAAATATCAACCCACTTGTCAGGAGGAATTAAAGTTGCCTTCAGTTGGGAATCTGAGAACTGWAAAGCATCACGGTGCTGCAGCAAGGCTGATCTTTACTCATTTTCTTCTTATGACTGATGAGAAACTAGGCTGTTTTTTTTTCTTCAGTAACTCAACGAAAGAAGGGAGTTTGGTGGCAAGAAGTCTTCATCTTTTTTTTTTACTTCAACATTTTCTGAGGCCTCATTATTTGCTTTTTTTCTTGTTTTGTCTTAAAAACAAAAGGTAAGGAATCAAGTATAATGTGCTTTTTTTGTACTCTCAAAATGTTTTCTTGTTTTCAGCATGGCTAATTCCTGTTCAGGTCAGGTTTTAGGGCTGTCTAAATTAATAAATTCCCTTATATTAACTCAAGTACRTCTCAGAGTGTTCATGTCTCAGAATTGATGGCCCAGATAGTTTGTCCCTGTGGACACAGTGGCCTTGTTTTAACAAATTACGTTAGAAACCCTTTGGGGCTGTAGCAGCAACAAGAGTCTTCCGATTTGGATTTTTTTACATGATTTTATATCATTAAACTTATTTGCAGCAGCTGCAGTCTGATTTATTTTTCAATCTGAATATTTTACTCATGTCATCGATAATATATCAGTGTTTTCATTGTTAATTATGTCAAAAATGTACATTAAAACAGGTTGACTGTCTGTATTTGGTTATTTTAAAAACGAACGCCTGGAAATAAATGTATTTGTGAGTCCAAATTTTCTTTTTTTATATATATATTATTCTGTATGAACTGCCATTTTTCTCACCAAGGTGAGAAATAATCAGATTTTCTATTAAAATCTAGCAAAAGCTTGAAAAGACAGCATAATTGAGCAGCAGATTGACCATTTTCTTTCATTTGTTGTCAAGATTTAGTCAATATAATTTGTTCCAATGGTTTCCAAGCTTTTTTGCTTTTTGACCCACAAAGTAACAGCAGCAGAAACCTGTGCCCCAGGTGATAAACACTATCAGGTCAAATACATAGGAGAATAGTAACACTATTCATCCATTTTGAAGCACAATAACCTCACTCTTTTGTAACAACTAAGGCAAAAAAAATGTTGTTAGTATCATTTTTAAATGTAAGTAATTCTGAAAATCCCATAAAGACCCCCACCTTGATGTCTCAGGACCCAGTGTGGTCCCAACCTTAGATTTGAGAACCTCTGGTTCACTGTATCTTTTTTCTGATGATTCTTACCATCAGGTCACTATGACATGGGAGAAACTAAAACCTCCAGAACCAGATGACCCTATTTGTTGCTGTGAATGTGATTTCTACCCGTACAGATGTTGTGACTGTGAGGACCTGGACGAAGTCTTTCGCAGGTATGAGCAGAAACCTTACGGTCCTGGAACACGGCAAAAACCAAATGCCGAACTTTTCTTAATAACCATCAGAAAGCTCTCAGCGCTGCAGATCATTTTAACTGCCTGCTTTTTAACACTACTTTCTGTGAAATGTGACACTAAAGTCAGCAGACTTCTTATTTGGCTAACTTTGCTGAAAAAAAATCCTAACAAACAAAAGCAAATATATATAAGCAAAACTCTTATTGTTTTGAAGATCTGTTTTCAAGCCAAAACCATGTCTGGGCTTCATAACTCAAACCACATTTTCACATGTCAGGCACAGTGTGTAGCACGTAGCATAATCAGCAGCTAAACTTTAAATGAGGAGCACACACACACACACGTTTGTTTCTTGACCCCGTGGGGATCTTCCATTGACTTCCATTCATGTTTTTTAGACTTTATATCCTAACCCTGACCATGTACTCTAAAATTAACCTACAGGTACCTACCTGACCCTAAAACTAACCTAAACATTGGTCCTAAACATAACCCCACACCCGTAATTTGCATTTGGACCCATGGGGACCTGGCAGTGGCCCCCATGAATCACTTCGGTCCCCACGAGGCTGCCTTTTTTGGAGGGAAAATTGTCCACACGTTGTAGGAAAAAACCCTCCACACACACACACACACAGAGACACACACAAAATAAAATATTTAACAATATTTAAATAATGTATACAAAAATTGACTAAAATATCTATATGTTATTTCTTGTTTGACTAACTTCAAACAGTAATTTTAAAAATACAAACTTGGTCTAGAAATGCTTTTATTCTGAAATGGGAAAAACTGGAATGATCACAAATGAGACACACTTGAAAACACTTTGTATTTATCACTAACAACCACAGCTCTCTGTAGGTGGCTGAAGGAGAAACCAGCTCCCCCTGGTCTTCAGACCCCCATGTTTGGGGCCATGATTGAGAACCTGGAGCTCTCCATGGTTCCAGTCCTGCTGCTGCTTCCTCTGCTGCTCAGGGTTGCATCTCTGCACTACCTGCTGGGCATCGTCTTCCTCACGGCCCTGCCCGGCCTGGTCCTCTGGTACTACTACGCCACCCACAAAAGGAAGAGGCGCACCCTCTTCTTCCTCACTCTTGCACTGTACTCTCTGGCTTACATGTATTACCTCTTCATCACGGAGATCTTACCCCGCGGGGGTGTCAGCTCGCTGCAGGCGTGCGCCGTGACCACCGGGATGATTCTCACTCTGGCTTCTCTCATTCACACCAAGCGAGGCCCGGGCTTTGTGAGCGCTGCTCTGCATGAGGCCCACAGCCACAGGATGAAGACGGCAGAGGGTTCTGCACATCTGTCAGCAGCCTCTTCATCAGGGCTGCTGATGACAGGAACAGAACCGGTGCCACAGAAATGGAGCATGTGTCCTGTGTGCAAAGTTATGCGACCCCCACGAGCCGGACACTGCAAAACCTGTGGATCATGTGTGCAGCGTCTGGACCACCACTGTGTCTGGTGGGTCTTATTTAGGAGCTGTTTGTCTGTATCTTTTCTGATATAACAAGATTGTAGTTTATTTTTTTAACCTTGACATCAGTGCTTTTCAACCCTGGTCCTCAAGGCACACTGCCGTGCATGTTTTAGATGTTTCCCTGCTTCAACACAGCTGATTTCAATTGATAACTGATTAACAGGCATTTGTTGAACTGCAGTCATCTGAATCAGGTGCATTAAAACAGAGGAACTTCTAAAACATGCAGGGCAGTGTGCCTTGAGTAAGGGGCGCAAAGTGTAAGTTAGAAACAAAGAAAAAAATCAGTGCACTTTCTTCACACTTAGTGCATTTTTCTCATATTTAATGGTAAATGTTAATTATGTTAAATCTATATCTAAATATTACATCTAAAATATATATTAAATCTATTTCTGCCTCATCTATCTATATAC